GTCGGAGGAATGGAATAAAGGTGTTGGATTTTCGGCATTTATTCTATCTCCAATATCTGTCTCTTTTTTTGCCCATTTTGCCAACCGGTAACCCAATGAATGTCGCTAAAATATAGGTTGTTCCATGAGATTGCTGCTGGCATTTGACGTTTGCATTTGGAATTGAATGAGCATTTTTTTGCGTGTGTTTGTTTGTGGATTTTCAAGACATCATCAGCCCCACCGCGGATTTGCTATAAATTTTGTCGAAATTGCCAATAATTCGTTCAAATATTCGACTTCCGCGGTATTTCTCTTAGGGAATCACTAATGCAGCAAATCACATAAACTTTTAAAATTTGTACCGGCTTCATGTGTACATATAGATTGAAAATGCTGCCGGCAAAAAGTAAATGTTTCATTTAATCAATTATTTATAAAACACTTAGTCAAAGAAGTGGTAAAAATATGCACAGTATATATACATTCAACGTATATATAAACTTGGAAGAGATTGTTGGTGTGACGACGGTTTTGGTTGATGTGTTTGCCGCAAAGCAAAAAAAAAAAAGAAAGAAGGAATCATATGATTCGTTTTTCATTTTTTTGAATTGGTTATCCGCTGGATCCACTGGGAATAAATGGATATGTGCAATTTCTTCTCATTTCATTTAATTCAAATGACTCAAACAGAATTTCAAAACTGCTGGTGTTCATGGGGGCGAAATTGAAAATAAATAAAATGAGAACTACCACGATACGAATTCATTTAAACAATCTTGCTACCGATCGTTCGTTCATTCTCAATTTTTCTTGTCTACGCTTTTGCATTATACCAAAGGTTTTTTTTCTCTCTCTCTCTGTATATTCTTTATCGTCTTTGCCACCCAGCCACCAAACCAAATAAATTGAATCTGTATGTGCATTTTCTAACATTTATAAAAATCAATGAGTAAGAGATTGAAGCAACAGCACGCGTGCACATTGGTTTGCTATGAAGCGCGTTGTGCTCGTTTTTTTTCGCAATTTTTTTTTTCAACGGTCGAACACATTTAGCATGTACACGGATGTTCGGTGTGTGCATATTAAATAAGAAAAGTTTAATCAATTTGAAACACTTCGTGACTTCGTGATGCATTAAGATATGAAATTTGAAAATGGAATGGCGTTCGCTAAACTCTTTTGCGGTGAGCGTGTGTGTATTCCTCGACAGTTCAGTTGCACACATCGTGCCACCGTCAAAAGTTGTTTTTTTTATACTTTTTTATATTGTGGTTTTCTGCTTTTTTTATCATCATCCCATCGTACACACACAAAAACTCATATATATAATTCAATGCATTTTATTTGATTTGGCCACTGCACTGTGGCCATTACATAAGCAAGCTGGTAAAAATTAGGCACCCCATGGTAATTCACATTTGAATTTGGACGATGGTTCTCGATTTCATTTCAAACGGAGAGTGTTTATTATTGGAATATGTCAATGAGTGTATGCGCGCTGTTGCTACACTCTTATTATTATTATTGTTTGCAATAAATGTGAATAAAATAAACAATAAATAAACGTGTGTGTATTCGATTATATTTCGTTCGTACATTGTCCGCGTGAGAGAGAGTGAGTGTGTGTATTATATTCAGCCCACGGTGCGTAAGAATACCCAAAATGTTCAAGTAAAAAGAATAAAAAGGTCTCTCTCATTGATACGGCAACTACGTTCAGCAATGGCATAATAAATACAAATTGGTGAAACCGAAAAGCCAATATATAAATATAGAAAGCTAAATAATACGGCGGCATCGAATAACAGGGTAAAAGAGAGTTGTGAATGCAAAAAAAATAGATGAAGTAAAAGAACGAAGAGAGAGACTGGGCGGACTTTATTATTACCACATATTGATGAGAGATAGTCATAACAAAAATAGTAATAAACATAACAAACGACGATGATGACAACGGCAATTGCACCACCAACAACAGGAACAACCGCAATCAATTCAACTAACTTGAAATCCGAAGACGTAACCAACTGATCCATACAATTGAAGTGGTTTTAAATCACAACTATGCATAGCAAAAAAAAAAAATCTCGCATATGTTGATCAAATACAATGCCATGAAAATGAATCACATCCCGGCACATTTTCCTTTCTCTCTCTATCTCTCACTCACGTCGTGTCTCTGTCGGTTTGCCCACAATAAAACTCAAAATTAGTTCTGTGACATTTCTTTTGTATATTTTATCGAACAGTTAATTTTGTATTCCTCCGGTTTTTTTCGCTCAATTCGTCCTTTTTTTCATTTCAATTTTTTTTTCTCATTCGGTTTTGTTTGCTGTTGATCAAATCCTAGATTAGGATTAGATTATGCAGTCGCCATTTATGTGTGTCACATTACCTATACCTTGCTACCTATTTTTTTCACTTCAATTCCTCATCTATCCATACCGTATCAATAGATCAATTTCTTTCGTTCTCTCTTTCATCGATTGTGATAGTTTTTTTGTTGTTGCTGTTTGCTTTGTCCTTATCCAGTCATTGGTTTTTATGTGGATATGTATGCCATAAGTCCCCTTCGAATTATATTAAATTAGATAATAAATGTGCAGCCCAACCATGGGCAACGTATAGATGACATTACTTCCTAATTTTATTTTATTGTTGGTTTTTTTTGAGCGTATTCCAATCGGAACAAAAACCAACTCAACGATTGTGTATACATCATTCACTTCTCAACATATGTCCTTAATTTACCTTTTATGTATGTGCGATTATAGTCATCACATCGAAAGAGTGAGAGAGATATTAACAGTGTGGCGCTTTGTTTATTTGAATTTCGTGTGTATGTGTACTTTCTTGGTGGATGGAAAGTGTATATGCAAAAGGGAGAAAAAAGAGACAATGACAGAGACAGAGAAATAATCTTTGTCTCATACACACTATGTCAATTTGATGAAGTGCCTTTCATCTGCTATTCATGGAATAATAACAAGGATATAAACGGAAAAACGATACCGTCGCCTATGGCCAATCGTTTACATTCAATACACAAATAGAATACGAACACACATAATCTCTGTATCATGTATGATGCCAAATGCTTTCTAACTACCAAAACTATATACGTGTCCACGTAAAAACACTATTCAACTACAACTTGCCATTCTGCCGACAATCTCCTTTTCTTTGTTGTCTTTTTTTTCTTCTTCTTCTTACATTTCTATCGATTCGATTTTTGTTTTAGACATTGTTCGATTTGATTTGATTCCAGGCATATTGTCATCAACAATTCTCTATATATATATATGTGTGTTCTCAATTTCATGTCGTCATCATTGCTACCACAATCATCACATTACGAATGCCATTTACGATAGTAGTTCATCGTCGATGTCATCTTCACAACAAACCGTCTCATAATTACGAAATAGTTGGCATTGTTGCGAGTGTGTGGCTCTTGCTCCTATCGCATAACATACATTCCCATTTTCCTTTGTCTTTATTTACAATGAGTTAAAACACATTTCTACGTCTAAGTCTCATTCATTCGGTCGTTTCATTGTCTTTGCCGCCACATTTTGAGCTCATCATTCGAGACGATAAAGCATATCAACAATATTGATGTCAACAAGTAGTTAAATCCAAAAGAAAAACACAAGAGAAAGCAATGCCGGCACATTGCCATCTTTCAACATATCGGTGTCGATTTTGAAAATTCAATGTTCTTACTTACATTTTGATGTGCGAATTTCTTTCTTTTGTATGATATTTTATACTCTTGATTGAAATAAGTATAGCCACTCTGGATGACTCATTTCACCATAAAATTCGAATGAATTCACATTTGAATGGTCATTGGCAAATGATAGTGTATTGTAAGCATGTGTATTTGGGTGCATTAAGTAAACCAATTTCTGGTTTTAATTCCATACACTTGAATTATTCGGTCACTTCGACAACAGCCGTAGCTGCTAACTATCCGAACATATTGAGAAGATATAGTCGATTTAGTTGCATGATTTTTCCATTAGCGCATTTCAACATCGAATGTCGCGTCATTTGGCCGCGCGTCATTTTCGAAACGATAGCAACCGATATTTTTGCGAAAAGAAAAAAAGATTGAGCTATTTCGTATAACAAATTGCAAACGTGAAAAAAATCTATAAAATGAATATGGTGCGAACACAAGCGGGTCACAAGACACAAGAGAGAAAGAACAAAAAAAAAACAGAGAAGAAATCTGGTCAGAGAAATGATGTTTGTACGTGTGTATGAGCGTAATTTATTAATATTATAGAGGGTTCGCCAATCCAATGTCAAGAGACAACTGCCGGCACCAAACAAAAACCTGACATAAATTCTACTTAGTGAGGATTTGATTTGGAATGGAACATCATTTGTGTAGGAAATGTTTTCTACAAATTCACAATATCCGGAGATTGTGCGCAAAAAAGAGATCACATTCACACATAGAGAGAGAGAGAGAGAGATAGAATCTAAACGGGAACCGTTGAGCCAGTGATAAAACAGAGAATGCGAACCGGAGCCAAGAATGCACATATCACAGTTTATCGACTTTTGAAGACTTAGTTCTTGCATTTACGTTCGGAATATGAGAGATTTAGTTGGATTTATCCAATTTATTCCGCGCCTCTATAGTCCACACATACGCAGTGCACACCAATCATTAATCAAAAACCGATTTTGTACATTTACGAAAAATGCATTTATTATGGATGCAGTTCATTAACATAACAATGAATGGGAATGACTTGCACATACGATTACCGCATCACGACAAAAAAGAACCATATTGTTTTCCTATCATTTTGTCAGTTATTTCTCTCGAATTTCCAAGTCAATCGAATTAATTGCGTCATTGTACGATTGCGATTGTTGTCATTTAGAAACAAACCGATCAAAACGAGGGTTGGATATAAAATGTGGTCTGACAAGAAATTCGACGTGAAATAATTTTTTTAAACAGAACATTTGTTAAATTTAAATAGTATAGTATTTAAACATTTTTCTTTACTCTGACTACGATGCGTATAAATACCATTCAAGTTCGCCTATTAAATTAGTTAGTGGAATTGCTTCATCTCAATAACTATTTTTACAGCAAGTATTGTTCTCAATTCAATTTTGTAAGTAAATTTTGTTGCTTTTAATGTAGCCGAATTTGTTTTTGTCTTCAAAACAAGAGTCTGTTTTTAAATTGTTAAGTTGCTATTAGGTTTCTTAAAATTTAAGAACTTTTCGAACGTAATAATACGCTTATAATACATTTTTCTTATACATTGGTTTCTAATCATTTTCATTTAATTTTAATTTGAATCGCATAGTGTGGGTCATATCAAAATGACGGTAGTGCCAACGATAAAATTGTTTATTTTTGCTTTAATACTTGGATTATTCCAAACACATGCGATTCAAAATGTCGCCGTGATTGGAGCTGGTGCTGCCGGTCTTGCTAGTGCAAAACATGCCCTTGACTATGGATACAATGTAACGATTTATGAAAAAAGCGAAAAACTTGGTGGTGTATGGTATTATACAGAGAAAACTGGCAACAATTCTTTTGGAGTTCCCGTTCACAGTCCCAACTATCAAGGATTAAGGTGTGTTCAATTATTTTCAATCATATTTAGTTTCATTGAATGAAAAACAAGCTATTCTTGTTTTTTTTTTTTACATAGAACAAATGTACCCTATCAAATCATGGAGTATCCAGATTTTCACTATCCTCCCGGAACAAAATCATATCCAACTGCAAAAGAAGTTTGGAATTATTTGGATTCATATGCAAGAGAGTTCAAATTGTCGGGTCTCATAAAATTGAATCATTTGGTTGAAAATGTGATACCACTTGAAAACGGCAGTTGGCGTGTATATGCCAAGGCGTATCCAACCAAAACACTTGTATCGAAAGTATTTGATGCGGTTCTTGTTTGTACAAATTTGTATTCATATCCATATACTCCAGATATTGATGGCATAAACGATTTTAAACTCAAAAAAATACACAGCCATGATTATCGTAAAGCTGCCGATTTCCGCGGTATGTTGTGATGAATAACGGCATTCTTTGCGCATTAACTTACTGTGGTTTTGATTAAAAACAGGAAAGGAAGTTCTTATTATTGGCGGTGGACCAAGTGGTGTAGATATTGCTCAATTAATCTCAAAGACTGCCAAACGTGTGATGCTCAGCACAAACACAGATATCTTGCTATCGGATGATGTACGTCAAAAATTATACGGCAAAAATAGTACATTCAAACCAGTTGTGAGACGATTGACGTCAAATGGAGCCGACTTTGAAGATGGAACGTCACAAACATTCAACGCAGTTATCTTTGCAACAGGTGTTATAATTAGTTGCTTTTCCCAAATGAATGAAATGTTTAATTAGAATAATTTCACAGGTTATCGATATAAATTCCCATTTTTGAAAAATGCTGGTATCAAAACCGATGACAATTTAGTATATCCACTTTTCAATCAAATTTTAAATGTCAACTATCCTACGATGGCATTAATTGGTATACCATACTTGGCGAGTTTTTACAGTTTTAGTATGGAGGTGATTATTATACATTATTCTACATGTCTTTTTAAATATTTTTTGAAATTTGATACTTAATTTCAACCGGAAACTTTTTTTCCTGTAAAATAGGCACGTTTTGCATTAAAATTCATCTCTGGAGAGTTAAAGATGCCCACAAAAGACGAAATGAATTTTAATTTTAATGAATTTATTGGACATCTAAGGGCGAATAATATACCCAAAAGTAAAAGTCATTTCTTGGGAACGTATACCAAAATTTACTATGATTATATTGCGATGGTTGCAAAAATTGAGACAATTCCATCATATTACGGTGGCGTTTATGCAGACGCAATTCAAAGTTTTCATACTGATCCGATCGGATTCCGCAATTACAAATACATAATTGATGGCGATAGTTTTGATAAAGTAAAAGAAAAATGACGTAAATAATGTAAATAAAAAATAAAGAGTCTTACGGAAGTAAGACGAACTGTTCCGCACAAGATTTTTCACACTTTCATGATGAACCAATTTGTACGACATTTGAAAGTATTCTATTTTCTAACAAAACACTATAAAAAATATGTATGACGTTAATTTTGCCATAAAAATTATTTTTGAAACATTTTCCATAACTAAAGTCACAAAAAATTGGAAATTTTGTATGGGAGGTACCCCTAATTTTGATTGAAATCTCTTCAAACTTTCAGAATGTTATTTTTTTGTTTTTTGTATAAAAAATAGTCTGTGCAAAGTTTCACGTCATTAAGGTAGCATACAGACATGGCTCCCATACAAAAATTCAATTTTTTTGTGATTTTTTCAAAGAAACTCTGTTTAAACTCAATTGTATCTCAAAATTAACGTCGGATTCGGTTTTCTCGTGTCTATTCTCCGCGACTCCCAATCATCCTATAAAGTCAGATTTTGAATTAAGTTTCTACGGTGAACGCAATCTTGCTAACAAATTTTGCGTACGACGTACAACGTACAGATTAACAAAAACAATGTTTAAAAACGCCAAATTCGTGTTCTCTGACCTTAATAATAGGTAGAAAACATGTTTCTGAAGTTTTCAAAATTTTGACCGATTACAATACTTTTCACCTTACACTATGTGTGCGGAAAAGTAAAAACTCTGAATTTTTATAAATTTTTCATTTTTTAATGAATTTAATTATTAATATTATGACTTGCCGATACATATGTCTATTAAATAGACTTAATTATATTTATGATAATTGTTCAATATACAACATACGTGCAAAATGTGATAAAATATGACAAGAATTCATCAATAATTTGCGTAAGAAAATTTTCGATCAACAATTGTTTTTCAAACGATGATTGCATCACTCATTCAACTCATTGCGAAGTTTTGTTTACTTGACATGCATACGATTTCGATTTGAATATCATTTGGCATCTCATCACCATAGGCTCGGACCCTATTTTTTAAAAAAACATCTCTTGCTGGAGCGCTGCAATTCATTTATCTTGTGAAAAATTCATGAATCTCGAATCATTTGCAAAACATAGCTTGACTTTATCGCTGAAATTTATTTTCATTTCGATGTGGTGCTTTGCTGTTTTGTTTGTGTTGTTGTTGTTGGTTGCCTTCGGTTTTTGAATTGTTTTTGTTTCCTTTTACTGTATCGTTGCATCCATTGCGTTTGTTCTTCGTTTTTTTTTTGTTGTTTGGTGGTATAAATGGTTGCCAACGTTTTCCAAGAGGCGGAATAACAAATTTGACATTTGTCGCGTCTCTGAGCGATTTCAATAGATATACTGTTTAATGTTAGCATATATGCATGGTCAAATTGTGATAGCAAACTGCTGTACTACCTATGCAACAATGAACAATAAGCCGAAATGAATGAAAAAAAAACACACATATACACACCGAAGAGTAGGGTGAGCGTATGAGCAGCCAACATCAAGTGGTAATATTCGTTTTGGCTTCGTACAGTATTGTTGGAAAGAGATTAAAATAATGGTCAGTCTGAGACTTGTGGGATGTTAAGGGTCATACATCATTAACTCGCTTGCTATTCATATGAGAATCATTTATCCGGATTTTCAATGTTTCCCAAAAATTGGAAGTGCATACCCGGCAAATACATATATGAGCAATAAAAGGAGTGCTCACTTTTTTTTGTTTCCATCATTCTTGCAGCTATATCAATGCATAGTATTTATTAAAGACCATATCGGCGAATGCGAACCGATGCGATGTGAAGCTCAATTGAAACGAGCTAAAATCTATTCAGAAAATGACGACCCAAGCGCAAAATGCAAACGCAAATTTCAATCGACCATCGAAACAAATAAAATTTTACTCGAAATCTACAATCTGGGACTGATGTAGATACTGTATAAGCCTACACAATGGCATCACATTGGATGAGAGTTATCCGATCTAAAAATGACTGGCTCAATTCGCATCAACACCATTTGTTATTTCGTGAGTGTTGGGCGCGCATAGTTAAAATACAGAGATGGAGGGAGAAAAAAATACCGTAAAATCAAATTGGTCAAAGCAAAATAGTAATTTTGTTGGTTATTTTTTTTCTCTTGTTTAAAGCAAATAATCCGTTACACTCCATTGAACACTGATCACATTTTCACTATCAAAACAATACGATCTATTGCATGTTATTATTCATCCTTCATTCAGTGAACAATACATTTTGAAGAGAAACGGGACTATGTACAGTGGTGAGTCAAACATTTCAACCTATCTAATCATGTCCAAAATATTTCAAATGAAAAATTCATTGAAAATGTTTTTGCTTCAAGTTTTAAGCAAACCCAATTGTATAGAACCATGCACTTCATTAAAACTAGGTAGAGTTTTGAAACTGTTTCCAATCGAATTTCCAAGGAAAAGTTTGCCTTACGAAACGAAAACTATTGAGTCTCTCTCTCTATTCTTCGTCGTTCGTCTTCTTTCTTTGTGAACAACCGAAACAAATTCACTTCCGAAATGTTTCACAGATATGAAATGGAATATTTCTGAGTTATTGTAAAATACTTTAAGCATTTTTGCATTTTCCGTTTGTTTGTTGTTATCATGGTATTGTTGGTTATGCTGGAATTATTTCATCTTTTCTCTGGTCTGCTATGAATTTTTGACCATAAAATTTATATGACATTGCATCACACATACGTATTGCGTTGAACTCGTACAACAACGAATAGAAAATCTACCATTTCAGTTAATTATATCGCATGAAATAATCGTAAATAATTTTTCCATTCTCCTACACTCGAATTCGGGCTCTCGCGCACGTTGGTCAATACACAAAATGAGTGTGTGTCTGTGTGGCCTGTGCGTACATGGTTGACCGGATTCGAGTGAAAAGCGATATAAATTTTATGAAAATCGTTTATGTTTTTGCATCGGTAACATGTTTCTAATAGTACCTATTGTGCAATACAATTACTTTATTACATTCAGATCGCTCGAAGGGTAATATTCTGTTCCTATATGGCATATGCGGTATTACATCACTATATTCTCGCAATACCCCAAAATGCATATTAAAATTAATTGTTGTTTTGTAGACACTTTCTTCATCGAATTTTTCACTCTTTTTCTTTCTCTCACCTTCTCGCTCTCCTTGTTCTCTGCATGTTCTCTTCTTTTTATTCCAAAATCAATTCGGGTTTATTGGAAAGTTTTTACATGATTCAGCATGATATTCCAAAATCCATTATGGTGTCCAATCCACGCAAATTTATTAAGTCATTTGCTTTAATTAATATTACGGTCAATGTGTAACATTTTGCATCCACGAAACGAATTAATACTCGGGTTTGGTGTGGACCAAACAAATTTTCGGGTTATCAAAAGCGTTTTCCGCTTATTTTGACCGAACCAATTTTCATTCACATTGCAATATCTATATATATACAATGTTATATTGAATGGGAAACAATTAAACACTTAGCTCATTGACAGATTAATTTGTACACATGTTGAAAAATCTTAATGGTGGCCAGTAGCCAATATAAAACTCCTCCAATCAATCGTAAATCACTTGGCAGCACTTGAGAGCACGTACCCTGAATTAACACATAACATTTAATAGATGTTTGTTATGTGCGTGTACGATGTGTGAGTACGATGATTGTTCGTCGCGTTTATGAGAGAAACTGAATCTACATTTTACATATACGACCACCATTTTGCATTAATTGAACTCTACCGTTTGCAGAAAGATGGAGAGAGAGGGAGAGAAATTCGAACATTGAACCAGTTTTTTTTTAATTGAATAGAAGCTGTTCGATTCATTTTGTGAAAGTTCGTTTTTCAACACAATTTTGATCGAATAAATGTACTTTTCTTTTGAATTTGTGCCGTTGAAGTTGTGTACATCCAAATTTGAAGATGAAGATAGAAAGAGAAAGTGCATATAAACTTTTAAATCACATCAATTTCGCTTATTCGTGCAATTCGATTCAGTAATTGAACTTCTTGCCATTCCAATTTGCCCGAATTAAATTTTGCAAATGTAAAAATGAGCGGCGGATAATAAGGCGGTGAATTCATCGTTATTAGCGCTAATGTGTATGAATTCATTTGGGAATATTGAGGACGAGAGGAAGAGAGAAAGAGAGAGAGAGAGAAAAGGAATGTAAGAGAAGTGAATTTGATCAAATACAGATCAAATTTGTAAGTGTATTGTGGGCAGCCGAGAGAGCATCAGTACAATGCAATGGCAAGTTTATTTTGAAAAAAATGGCAGTTTCCATTGAAAATTGAACATCGACGACTAAGATTACAACAAACCAATACACCGACGGCAGCACGAACAGATTGAAGTTCGATACGAATGCTTGGATTGTGATTGAAGCATCAACGTGCTTTGCCAAGAGCCGATCCACAAGATAAACGTATCGCATTTTGGTCCCTTGAAATGTATAATAGGTTTGAACAAAACTTTTGTTAATTAATTTATTACCAATGCTCTCTCAAACTAAAAACTACAAAATCCCACAAGCCACAAATGATTAAATTAGAGAATTTTGTTTGGAACAATTATTTTATTTCTCTTTGTCTCTCTCTCTCTCTCTCTATCACTATTCCTCTATGTATGAATATACTCCACCATTTTTTGTCCTATATATTCGTTTCATTGCGTTTGGTTCGGTGATGTTCTTCTCATTTTTCGCGCGCCTTTACTCTCTCTTTCCGATTCTCTCTCGTTCGGTGGAATTTGAGTTCGATGGATGAGTATTTTGTAAATGTTATGAGCAAATAACCGAAGCAGCTGATCCTGTGTGCAACTACACAAGTTTTCCGGATAAATAGACGGAGTTTTTTTACTATATATTTTGTATTTTTGTTATGCTCACATTCCAATCCGCCATAATAGCACCGGGCTTCGGTAAAGATATGTGCCTCGTTCATTGCATTTGGATGCATCTTCTTTTTTAGTTGAAAAACCCTTTTCCGAAATAACAATAATAGTTTTAACCGAAAACTGCAATAATTTCAAA